CGGGGAAGCTCCATGAGAAAATTATCCAGGAGCACATCTGCAAGGGGCTAGCAGGGGAGATTATGCTTAGGGGAAATCAAGATGGGTTCATTAGAGGCAGGTCCTGTCAGACCAACCTGGTGGCCTTCTATGACCAGGTCACAAAATCCTTGGATGCAGGTGTCGTGGTAGACATAATCTTTCTGAACTTTAGGAAGGCCTTCGACACCGTCTCTCACCCCATCCTCATTAAAAAATTAGGCTGCTATGGTGTTGATGTCTACACAGTCAGATGGGTCACACATTGGCTGGACGGCCACACCCAGAGAGTGGTGGTGGACGGGTCATTTTTGACCTGGAGGGATGTGGGTAGTGGGGTTCCTCAGGGCTTGGTCCTTGGGCCTGCACTGCCGATGAGGATATTGAACAACTTGGACGAGGGGATGAAAAGCACCTTGTTCAAGTTTGCAGATGACACTAAGATGTGGGCAGAAGTGAGCATGCTAGAAGAGAGGGACAGGCTACAACTAGATCTGGACAGGTTACAGAGGTGGGTGGATGAGAATAGGATGGGTTTCAATACGGACAAGTGCAAGTTGTTGCACCTGGGGAGGAAGAGCCAGCAGCATACCTACAGGCTGAGGAACTCCCTTCTTGCCAGCACAGAGGTAGAAAAGGATCTTGGAGTCGCTATCGATTCCAAGATGAACATGGGCCGCCAATGTGGGGTCGCAGTCAGGAAGGCTAACCGCACCTTGTCATGCATCCACAGATGCATCATGAGCAGCTCTAAAGAAGTGATCCTCCCCCTCTATGCGACACTGGTCAGGCCGCAGTTGGAGTACTGCATCCAGTTCTGGGTACTGCACTTCAGGAGGGATGTGGCCAGCATTGAGAGGGTCCAGACAAGGGCCACTCGCATGATCAGGGGGCAGCAGGGTAGGCCCTATGAGGAGAGGCAATGGGACCTGAACCTGTTCAGCCTCCACAAAAGAAGGCTGAGAGGGGATCTGGTGATCACCTATAAACTTGGCAAGGGGGACCAACAAGCAATGGGAGAGTCCCTGTTCCCCCGAGCACTACTGGGAATAACAAGGAACAACGGCCATAAGTTCACTGAGGGTAGATTCAGGCTAGACAGGAGACACTACTTCACAGTCAGGGCAGCTAGGAGCTGGAACCAACTTCCAAGGGATGTGGTGCTCACCCCTACCCTAGCGGTCTTCAAAAGGAGGCTGGACAATCACCTAGCTGAGGTCATGTTACCCCAGCGTCTTTTCCTGCCCAAGGCAGGGGGTCAGACTTGATGATCTGCTTAGGTCCTTTCTGACCCTACCAACTATGAAACATTTTCATGTTTATCTTGCTGGGATCCTGTTGCCCCTGCTGACTTCCTGCCCCTTGTTACATCTCAGGTCCGTGTTCTTGGGGAACCCTGGCACAGGACACAGCCTGCCTGACTCACAAAGAATCCCCCACCTCTACCTAAACAGAACTGATGAAGATGCAGTGGGCGACATACCTAAAGACCCCCAGATAAGGGAGCAACTGCCTTAGGTCTTATTTGCATCTGAGATGGAATCAGATGACCATTCATTTACATGGGAGATGGAGAACAGAAAGCCCAAAGCAAGTACTGCAGTGAATTCTGGGATCAGATAAGCAGGGGAGCACTGCATGATGGGGAATCTATGCTCCAAATGCCAATCAACCCACATTTACACACACCCAACTCAGCATTTATCAGAACAATTCTAATCTGGATTTACAAAGGACTCCTTCCCCTCCTCCCCCACACACACCTCTAAGCAGAAGTAAAAGTTTAATAGGCATCTTGGGCCATACGTTCCCCGGTCCCACTATGGGAGACCTATTTAAAACTTGATTAAAACTCGGTTGCTGGGTTAGGGAATGCTGAGGCAAAGAGACTGAGTCAGAGGGGGTATGGGCAACATTTGTACAATGGTAAAGGGTTCATCACAGCGTTTAGCCCGTTGGAGCCCTGACCACAAGTGTTGTCATACTTTTCCCAGGATGACTGGTGGAAGTCCTCCCCGCAAAAGGTTATGAACACTCCAGTAATTGCCCTAAGTCTATTAAAAGACTATAGTAAGATCTGGAAAAGTCATGCTAAGCTGAGGCTTGTTCACAACAGGTAAAAATGCAAAACCCTGATGCTGCAAGCTATCTATTGTTTCTGAAGAAACCATGAGATATCCCATCAGTATATCTACTATCCATAGGAATTTCAAGCTGGCTCCTAAGTGTCTGGTTACTCCTTAACCTTATGTTTTTTCCTTGTTATTAATCAGTTTCTTGAGATGTTCCAAACCAGATAACCCCTTGTCAAGAGAAAAGACAATTATTTACACTATTAAGAATGCTTTGAAGAAGCTGAACTGAGGGTATAAAAATCTGTAAAAAACAAAACAAAACAACCCCCCCCAAAAACAACAACAACAAAAAAGCAGCAAAGTGTGTGTGTGTGTGCACTTCAAGAGGAGAAATCTCTCTGACACCATCCTCTGTTGTTCTAGAGAAGCTGGAAGAAACAGATCGTCTCCCTTCAAGGATTGTGCTAAGAACTTTACCTGTCAGCATTGGAACTCGAGTGCCTTGGACTGGTGAGACCCCAGCTCTCATACACTCTCTCTCTCTCTCTCTAGGCATAAATCTCTGAACCTGAACTGTATTAGTTAAGCTTGAGCTAAGTTTCCCCAAATACTTAGTGAAACCAGGCTAGTACTGTAATTATTTGTGTTTGTTTTCCTTTGCATGTCTATCACTACTAGTACCATTATATATTTCATATACTTAGCAATAAATAACTTTTATAGTCAAACTGGTAGTAGCTGGGTATATTTTTCCTTCTCTACTTCTCTTTCCCCACTTGCTCTGCAGCAACACTTTTTTTACCTAAGCTAAAGATCCCTGTGAAGCCCAGAAATACTGTGGGGTCTGCTCATCAAGAGGCTAAAGATCGGGACGTACTGAGTTTGAAACACATAAGGGGGGGGGAAATCAGCTTGTACAGGCTGATTGATCCAATTTGGCTCAGACATGCCCTAATGAACTGAATGCTAGCCTATGAGGGTGTCAGGTGGACACCCAGCCAGATTCAGAGGTATTCTGTGTGCCTGCGTACTTGTGTCTGACTGCAGTTTATTGTTACCCTAATGAACTGATTCATGGCATATGAGGGTATCAGCCTCTCTATGCGGATCAACCTGGCCAGGTCAGGTGTGTCACATTAATCCGTATGTGTTTGTGTGTATGACTGATTTGGTGACTGGAGGAACCCAGCCCCACTGAAACTGAGTCCTGCAAGATAGCTCCATTGGGGGTGAGGACTTGCAGAAGGGAGATATACAGCTCTGTATAGAAACACAAGTAACACAAGCAGCACATTGATAGAATTACCAAGACCCTAGAAACGTATCCCTAATAAGTGAGTACACCCCAAAGCGATGGGCAAATTTGGTAACACCCTGGGGCAGGGGCTGGACTCAAAGATCTTCCGAGGTCCTTTCCAGCCCTAATGTCCATGAAATCTATGAAACCATACCAAAAGAGTCCTGAGACCAGGGACTAGAACCCCTCATACCCTTCTCCCTGCTGACAGCCTGTAACAGGGGGCATTCTCAGGGCTGATTATACCTTTGGCCCATCCACCTGTTCTGGGCCAACCACCCGCCTTCCCCTCTGCCAATCATTTTCTTAATTGATTAATGATCTTAATTAGGCAGGAAGCTGCCCATTTCTTGCCCTGATGACAGGGGGTGTTATCTGTGGCTCTGTACCTCCCTACACTGCAGCCCATGCCTTGCAGACGGCATTCATAGTTCTTACAATCACCAGCCCCACACTGCTTCCCAGAGTTCTCCAGTCAGAACCTCTCTAAGATCCCTCCATTCCAGCAGCCTACCCCACCTTCATTCAAGCTATCTAGCTCCCTGAAACTATTTTCCCCTCTCAGGTGTAGTCCCCCCAGGACCTTTGGCCACACAGGCCCTGGCCTCACCTCCAAGGCCAGCCAGAAACCTCAGGCCCTCCTAGCTCTGGGCATCCCTCGCAGTGGGCCCCTGGCCCTTTTGACCAGCCTGGTCCTGGCCCCAGCATTGACCAGTCAAGGGTACTCTCTCTGTCAGGTCTCTGAGTCTCTAGCCCCACTCTATCTCCTGGGGTCTGCCCTCTGGACCCCACTAGTGGGTGACCCACCCAGCTGGGGAGCTGGGGCTAAGGCACCTCAACCCACCTTTCACCAGGGTGGTAACTAGCCTGGCATTTCTTGGGGGCTCCTGCACAACTGGGAGCCCCCCGCAGGCCACCCACTCCCAGCAGGTGCAGTTTTAAGTTATGCCCAGGACCAGGAGCCTCCTAACCATCCCCTACAGCTCCTCCCTTACCTCCAGAATGTTCCAAGAAACCTCACAGCTAGGCAATGTTGCTACCTGGGCTACCAGCAGGGAACTGATCTATTTAGATAGGCAGCCAGGGATCTAAAATGGCTGCCACAATCAAGCACCTGCTGGGTGCTTGGCTCTGATCTTAAAGTGGCAGGCACAAACAGTGCCCTGCCACATAGCCCTGACTACTAGCCTTCAGAGTCATGTTCCTTTTTGCTTTCCCTCTGGTTTCATGCATCTTTCATTCTTCTCTGCTCTCATGGTTGCAGAGGTTGGATAAATAGTGAGAGACATAGATTAGAAACACTTTTGGCTGAGTTCTCCCACTGTGGGCAAGTAAACTTACCAGTTATATAAAAGGTAGGCACTACCTCCACTTCTCCACATTTCAGTAAAAAGAGAGCCTGTTACTATTCTTGGAAGGCATGGATACCAGTGCTCCTCCTCAGCAGAGAGGTTTGAACTATGGACTGAAGGGAGGGAGGTGCCTTCCTGCTGCCATGAATCAGGTGACATAGATCCAGAGATGTGGGACTTCAGAAACACCCTGTTGTAAGTACTTCCTGTTGCCTAGGTCTGGGCAGCTCCCTACTCATTGTGCTACTCATTTTTTGAATGATCAGTCTGAGTTACCTGCTCTCTCATACACTGCATAGGGAGCTTGGATGGCATACTTAGGGATCCAAATTTCAATCTGGGAAGAAGGTACCTGAGTTTTTGGCATTTTATTGTTTACTGGCTCTCATCCTAGATCTTTGTACCTATTACTTGTCCATACCTAACAGCCATCTTTTTTTATTCTATTGTAAATTGCATACCCTCACTTAATTATGTTTACAGTAACCTAGCTTTGAAAAGTGCTAACAGCACTGATCAAAATGAAAGGCACTTTATAAATTGCTGTAACTAGTTTTAGCATAATTTGTAAGCTATTCAGAGACCACCACCTTTGCAACTACTCCTTAATTTATGTTTGTGCAATCACTAATTGGTGTCTCCCTAGGGATTTTTCAAAAGCAGCTGGGTGACCATATGGATAGAGATACTTGTTTATAAATCCAATTATCTATACACATACAGATCTACCTGGGGAAGATAAACCTTGACTTGATTTTGGTAAGGAAAATGGGCAAGGTCTTGTATCTGACCAAGGGACCAAACAAAAATCAAGCACTGTACAGAGCCGCTTAAAAAATATGTAATAGTATATACATGCGTAAACTTTCATTTTGGTAGCTGCAGAGACCTGCAGGGGGCTTACAGAGAGCAGCTCACCTGCTAAGCCCAGTTCACATGAATACTTCTATTTTAGAAGCCATGCAAACTAAACCCAGTTATGGATGGAGACAATACTAAATAATTAGACCCACTGTGGGTAAAGGAAATACACCTGTTAGATGTGAGGCAGATATCATAATTTCAATTAAGAAAAAAAATCCTCTCTCCTCTTACATGAAGGAACTTCCTCCTTATGTTAAGGGCTACAAGCTGCAATTCTGGACAGCGTTTCTACCTTTTGGTCCATTGGGTCCTTGACATCTTACAAATAATGTAATACTAAAGGGCACAGGCAGAAGCGCAGCTCCTTGCTGTAACCAAGAATGCTTTGCAGGAAGCATTCTGAGTTACAACCATCCCCTGGACCAAACAGAAGTTCACTGTCTTTTCCAGTGGGGAGGGGGATCTAGCTGTTGGCTGGGGGCCTACAGCTAATTTCCCCTAACAATGACCCTTCCTCCCTGCCAGCCCAGTCAGTTTTCAGAATGGGAGGGGGGAAAGAAAGAAGAGGGAGCTTGTTTTCAGGGTTCCTCAGCTGACACTGGAGGGTGGGATGGTTGAATTGGAGCCCCCCCCCCCCCACATTAGGGGGCTCCAATACACCTGTTACACCCTCCAGTGGGGGCTGAAAAAACCTCAGACCCAATTTTCTCCTCTCCCTTTCCTCCCTCCAATTCTGAAAACAGTGATGGCACAGATACAAGTCACAGAAGATGCTTTGTCTTGAAACTTCTTCATTTGAACACTCATAACAGTTTAGATTTTCACCCAATTCTCCATTTGTGAAGCTGTCTACAGCTGTGCACTTACAGTCATGGCTATAGACTGGACTGCTTTCTGTGGCCAGATCAGGAGAAAGTTGTTACTTCTGTCTGCACTCAAAGAGTAGCATACACACATATTTAAGCCAACTTATAAGATGACTTAACTAATTTGACTTAACTAAATCAATTTAAGTTAAGCCACATTGGAGCGTAAACATGTGCAGCACCTTGGCATGGTGGCAGTCATCTTCTGAGCCCTCCCCTACAGTAGCCACCAGCTGGGGTCACTGCAGGCTGTGGCCAGGGATGCCAGACCACCCCAGACCTGACTCTGTCAATCAAGGAAGCCCAACCCCTCCTCCCCCAGCCTCTTAAAAAGCAGATCTCAGACCAGCTGCAGCCAGCTGCTGAAGTCAAAAGTCTGCTGTCAGCCTGAACCTCTCTGTTAATGCAGCACCTTTGTTGCCTGCTACACAGAGATATCTCTGCTCTGCAGAACCCTCTGTGTGGCCTCTCTGACACCCCTTCTTGCCTGCCCAGCACTCTGGGAGCACTCGGTAGCTCCCCCAGACCCAATCCTCAGGCTGCCTCCGTCATGCTGCAGGCCTTTCTGGAATGCTATGCTGAGCTCTGCAGGTGCCTGAATGACCTGTGTTGCCTCCAGGACTGACAGAAGGGCCACATGCACAGCAAGCCCAAGAGTTGCTTCCAATGCCAGTTCCAGGGCTTATTCCAGAGCCTGGAGCTGGGGGACAACAGCTAAAGCCCTCTCTGGGACCTACTTCTTGTGACCGGAGCTGATGAAGAGTATGATGCCCAGCATCTGTGCCAGGAGTATGAGGCCCTGATGAAGCTCATCGAAGGGGGCATGCTATAGTATAGCTGGCCCTCATTACTATGCACCATCACCTCTGTGCCCACTCAGCCAGCACAGAGTGGTGGCACCACATCATCCTCAGCACCTGGGACAGCCAGCTGTGGAGGGAGATCTTCCACCTGTCCCAAGCCACCTTCCAACATGTGGTCGAGCAGAAGACATCCCACATACTGTGCCACAACATCATCGTGCAGCATGCCCACACCCTCGAGCAGCACATGGGAATCACCCTCATCAGGCTAGCCACCCCCAAGATTCTGTGCTCTGTTGCCCACCACTTTGTGGTATGGAAGGCCACCACTGGGGAGGTGACTAGGAACGTCTTCAGGGCCATTTGGGAGGTCCTTTGCCACCAGGTCACCTGCCTAGACAACCCCATCCCCACAGTTGAGGTTGGCTTCTGTGCCCTGGGCTTCTCCAGTGTGTGGGTGGCCTTGATGGGACCCACATCACTGTGGTGTGCCCCCCTGAGAGAGGCTAGGAGTACCAACAGGAAGGAGGTCTACTCCATTGTCCTGCAGGTTGTTGTGGACCACCAGGGCAGAACAACTTGCAGCAAAGGGCACAGACATGACCCTAATTGGATGCATTTTTGTTCTTTCTGCAGCCCTCCCCTGCAGCCCCACTGTTCCCACAATTATGGGGGAAAACTCTTTATTCCCACCCTTTCTCCCTCCAAGCACAACACATTACCCTCCCAGATAAAGAACCAATTTTTTAATTAAAAAGAACTTATGTAATCGAAGGAACTATGTAAAATGGGGGGAAAGACTTTTTACAAGCTTCATCCTCATGCTCAGGGGTGGATGGTCTGGTCAGATGGTTGCTTCTCCCCGGTGATATGGAGAAGGACCCCTCCCCTCCCCAACACTCCTGGCCAGTTCCCCATCATTTGCTGGCCCCTGCTCCTCCTGCTCTGGTGTACAAAGTTGCCCCAAGGAGGTGCCCATAGTGAAGACACTCTCCACTGCAGCATCAGGGCTGAAGATGTTGCAGAGCCGCTCGTGATAAAGGGTCTTTTTCTCACAAGGGCTCCAGAACTATAGGCACTATCACAGAGGCAGGCATACACACTCCAAAGGGCCTTCATCTTAGTCAGGACCTATTGTCAGGTCCAGTCATACCCCTGGACCCACATGTCCCCACCCCGTGATAGCCTTATAAAGATTAGGCCTGTGCAAGCAGGCAGCTATTCGATTCATCTTCAGATCCAGCTGTTTCAGATGCCAGGGACCCAATCCAGAGCTCCAAACCGGGTTCCCGTTTCAATCCGGCCAAAGCGGCTCTGAAACTTTGGAGTCACCTCGGAGATCCGGCCATAGGGTATAATGGGGAATCAATCAAATATCTATAACTTTGTTGTTTCTTGTCTGATTTGGATGAAAATTGCAGAGCTGGTAACCACTGATGTGAGCATGAACCTTGCTATGCTTCAAGAGGATCAGTGCAGGGGTTTGGGGGGAACTGAATCCCAAATTCTTGAAAGCAAAACTCATGTCACATCTATGTGTTACACCACAGGGAGGTAAAAAATGCAGGGGTGGTGGCTCCTGGTGATGCCACAAAGCCTGCCAAGTTTTAAGAAGATCGGTGCAGGGGTTTGGGGGGAACTGCACCTCAAGCTGCTGACAGGCAAAACTCATGACATAGATGACCCTGTGTGTGTTAAGGAGCAGTGGGCTGAAAACTGCAGGGATGGTGGCCCCTGGTGAGGCCACGAAGCCTGCCAGTTGTTGTGGAGATAGGTGCAGGGGTTTGGGGGGAACTGCATCTCAAGGTGTGGACAAGCAAAATTTGTGACATGGGTGACACTGTGTGTGTTAAGGTGCAGCAGCATGAAAGCTGCAGGGATGGTAGCCCCTGCTGCAGCCACAATGCCTCCAGCTATTGAGCAGATAGGTGCAGGGGGGTTCTGGGGCCCTGCACCCCTAGCTGCTGACAGGCAAAACTCGTGACATGGGTGCTTGTGCAACTCACTGTTTCTGTCTTGGGGCAGTTGATTGTCTGTATTGATTCTTTCCTTTCCTTAGTGCGGGGTTTTGTAGGTGTTAATTGTTGCTAATTAACTGGCTACATTAGGTAGCAACTGTGTATTGAGCTGGTCCCTGAGTGAATCATGATTGATTGGTAACTGGTAAC